CTTCGCAAGGACTGATACTTTTCGGTACTCCTTCTTCCTACAAACAATAGATGATTGGAATAAACTAACCGAAGCATTTCCTCAACGCCCTTGACCATTTGTGTAAATACTCTCCTTCCATGACTTCCTTGAATGGTATTATCACCTTGTTGTTCAACTGTTACTTTTTTTAAAGCCATAACCCCTCTGTCTTATAGCAAAGAAATTGTGTAAAAACGCTTTGCAACCGTGTTTCATTCTGTTATTTAGTGTATTTCATGTATGCTCACCCTGCTTGGACTTTTTGTCTGCAGTATTCTATAAATAAATAAATAAATGATGAAACCAGTAGAGCGCCGCGTTTCGCACCTCTGTTACCTCGCTGCTCTCAAAGTAAGCTGTCAAGCGTACATGATTGGTGCTCCAGCTACTCACAGCGTCGTCGAGATCCCATTACTCCGGCGTAAGAATCAAAGTGTGATCAGCAGTTTCACCCTCATCGCCACTGTATACTATCATACGTAAGCGCGACTAAAAGACACTTCATGAAAACAACAAGAACTGAATGATTATTCAAGAGGCTGTTTTTATACCTGGACAGAGGGCCGCAGCATCCGCTGTGACGAGTGGTGAAGGCACGTACCGTAGGTATGCTTCTCACGCGTGCACCTGACGACCAACGATATATCAATTTATTGATATCGGTGCAAAATATTAGTAGAAAGAAAAAAAACTATTCAGGAAAAAGTCGGGTTCAGCCAAAATATGATAAATCCCAAAACTCAACATTATTCATCTTCTGCACTAAATGATCCACTCAATAATCAGAATGTACCATCTGCAATTAGCTGTATTGAAAAAATTGAAACATTTTAGATGAGCAACTAGTTTACAGTGAGGTATCAGTCATGTATTGAGAGTAGTGCTGTCTAACAACGTGTGAACTCTTGGAAACGCCGGATAACAAAGGTACAATTGACAGCGCTTGTGGCAGAGTTTGTGGATAGAAATCGCAAAGTCAACTACAACCAATATACATTGTGAACGGATAGCGGCGAGCATAGCGTGCGTCAGTCGTCGATTATCTAACCAACGACTAGGCGCATCAGCATTTATACACGCATCACACATTTGAACGTTATCACTGGCGGTCGCTTTTGTTCGAGAATAAACTCAGTTGTTCATGTTTGCACACTCAAGTCTAGCGGGTGATAATGAAGTGTTATAAAGACTGCAATTTCTCAGCAATGCTTGTAACTATACGCAGTTTCCATTATCTATCTTTGTCTTGTATGTGCTTGAATTCTTATACATTTTTAGTTGACTTATGTTGCCTTCCTGATTTGTGCATCTGACACTTGTTTCTTTATTTTGTCTTTTTTTTCTTGTGTGTTATAAATGTGTTACCCACCCCCTCTGTAATGCCCTACGGGCCCTGAGGGTATTCTAATAAATAAATAAATAAATAAATACTCCCACGTATTTTGGCGTGGTTTGCACACGGCAGTATCAGCATGTTCAGTAGGCATGGAAACATAAAACCTCGTTAAAAAGGGAGCGTGTGTGGCAACCTTATTGTTGAAAAAAAAAACATTTCATCATCTTATTTAGACGGCATATCGTCCTAGTTTACAGCATTCCCAAACGTAAGTACAAATTGGCTCAAACAGGAAGAATGTCAGTCAGAAAAGGGACTAAGTTACATCATTAGTATTTTCTCCTCTGGCTAAACACATCTCCAGAGCGCCCTATTTTATGGCATATGTAGAGCGTATGCCAAATAAAAAGGTGAAAGCTTCACCCTGCAGCCCTCCATTCATAATTACGTGTTTCTGTTCCTTCTCTGCGTGCGTGAAGGCGCTCGCACAAATGGGAAAATTGACTTAGGTATAACTGCTGTAAACATAGTTATCACAGGTGAAAGGCATACGTTTGTATTTGTTTTGCATCGGCTACCGCATAGGGCGACATTACAATGGCTTTTATAACTAACTGATGTGTTTGGTAAAAGCAGAAAAATAAAGAAAACAATGGAAAGCCAACTAGGTTTAACAGTTCCCAGACCAGCTGACTACTTTGTGTTAAACAAAGGTAGTAAGGATGATGGACTATAAAGAAAGGAGATGTAACAGAACAAAAAAAAGAGAAAGACGAACAAAGGAGTGAAGAACGTGACACTGCGTAAAGTACCTCTGGAGGACTACGAAACGCAAAAAGCACTTAAAACATGGTCTGCTGAAGACGATCATAGCTAATATGCTCTCCGACCCTTTGCTCCAATAAGGAGTGGTTGTCTACTCCACCGAACACGCGTGAATGACGCTCCTGGGTGCACTGTAATAGGTACATGCGAAAATTGGAAATTGTTTCCTAGTCGCTACTGTAAATGCACGTCGGCCAGTTGGCCATGCCGGCCGGAATAAATGGACATTGCGAAAGCTACGTCAAGCCGCACGCGGCACGGAACTTATGTTCAGCTTTATATATCTCCGGCGGAAGATAGGACGCTAGGTTCGGTATCTTTAGGGTGTGTTAATGCACATTTTGTCCGCTTCGGAGTGAGGACATCTCCGGGGTCTACTGCGGCTTAGCTGCACTATATTTGAGTTCACTGCGTTTAACCCACGTCTTACCGCTCAACGGCAGCAATGCTTAGAGGCGAGGAATGCATGGATAAAATGGGCAGCATAAGCATTACGAGGGCTGCAAGCCACTTGCTCGAGCAGCAAAACTTAGTTCCAGATTTGCGTACTAATCTTGGAGAGCATTGCATTCGTCGGTATTTTGCAATGTTTTCAAGATTTATTTACAAAGTCTCGGAGACGAGGCTTAGTGAGCATGGATAAATAAACACAGCTGATCTCATCAATAAACACAGAACATACCCAATGCTTCGCCTCAGGCGTGAAGTGACACGAAGCGGTAGCCAATTTCGACGACAGTGGGTGAGTAGCGGGTGCGTGTGTGGAACGGAGCGGTTGGCCAAGTCTGCGCGGGTGTCGCCATATAGGCTTCTAACCCCAGCTACTGGTTTTTACGGCCACGGCCACTTCGCAGCCCCAATGCATTGGCTGACAATGCAAGCATCGTGATACAGACAGGAATTGAACAAAGTTTTCTGCATTTTGTACACACAGCGCCAATTTCGCGCAAATAGCACACAAAAAACGAAATAGCCCATTCCTAAGACTATTACGTCTCAAATAAGTGCACAAATAAAAACACAATAGCAAGAATGATAAGATACAAAGAGGAGAGAAAGACATGAAACTTGAGTTTCATGGAATCTAAAATAAATGTGGAGATAGACTTCGACCTGCACCCATGAACAAACTACGCTCATGTGTTTTAACAGAACAAAGTTTCCAGAACTGTACACGTTCAAACCTCGAGTTCTTGGCCCAGTGTTTCTAGAACTGCATAGACTAGAACATTAAAAGGGTAGACCGCACCCTGCGAGGTTGGCGCCTACCACACGCAGGATCCTGTGAATAAAGTCTTTTCTCTCTCTCTACACATTTAGACGCAATGTTGGTGTTCTTTTCGCGTGTTTCTCAAGAAGAAACTTTCCGCTTAAGATATACACTTCCTGTACACAGGATGATGCTGTGCCCCACACGAACTGGCTGTAGTAATTGCTGGAATGAATCCGGGAGGGGGGGAGGGCTCTTGAACATTGTAGGTACTACTCTTGAAGTAATTGGAGCCTGCTTGCGTCACCTTCTCCATCAGTCGCTATCCTCGCTTCGCTTCTGGTAGGGCACCCACATAATGTCCCGAATGAAAGGAACGCATCTGCGCCTGTAAATTGACCTTTTCGAATTGGCCTACAGCTGGTATACGGTCGTGAAGAATCCGTTACGACAACATTCTTTCATCAGGGAGATAGCAAAGTATCCCCTGCGCTTCCGTGTGGTCCCACGCTCGCCACCTGCTTGGCTGTGCATGTTGTAGAGGCTGTTGTTCATAATCTTAATTGCGCGTGAGTGGTTTGTCACTGGCGCACCATTAAACCTTCTTACGCAAATCGCATAGTTTCACGCCTTGTGTAGTTCTTGAAATTTTCATTCACGAACAACACTGATTTGTTTCTCACCGCTAACGAGGCCTTCTCCGACACCGACACTGGTGGTATTTACGGGAAACGATCGCTTTGAAAATATCCCATTTAAAATAAAAATTTCTGAAAGAGCAGTTCATTAAACCTAAGAAGTGGGTATCCAACGAAAGCAAGTGTGCTAATTTTCCATATGATTGTTCAATAACCTCCTTCAAACGGGCTATCCACGGCATACTTTATGAAGATATTCCCCCGATGAAGTTTAATTGAACTATTTCTTATTCTTAGGAGGAAATATATTGTTCCGAGGAAAAGGCATTTAAGAATATTTTCACAATGTAATTACAGCTCTCGAAGGCAGGCATACAATACTGAGCCCAGACTGCACGAAACATCACTAAACATCGTCTCCGTCTCAATCATGCTCATCTATGACAACTCCTGCCGTCACCCTAAGCGGCAACGGCACTCTCGCAGTGCTCGGTTGGCCCGAGTCATCGTTTAAGTGAGTGACGTCAACGATGTCCAAACACGACCGTGGAGTAGTGGTGTGAGGATAACCTTTATTTGGCCCCCTTTCCCCATTTCGCAGTTGCCCTCTCCTCCGGCTTGGTTTGGTTTGGATGAGAGGGTACAAAGCAAAGACACCCGCTGTAAGGAAGTCGAATGCAGTCTTGAAGAAGATAAGACCACTCGTCCAAACCCATCCATTGCTTATGAATTTCTTATCGCAAGCTTTATTCTTCTCGTTCTTGCCTTCCTTAGGCAGAAATGTCATACACAAACAATACACAAATATAAAGGCAATACAGAACCTTACAGGTACTGTATTAGTCAGACGTTAAAAAGACACTTAAAATCAGTATGTCAAAATAAAACTGGCTTCCACAATGGGGCCAATGCTGTGAAATCATCCAACAAGCACCGAAACTATTGCAGGACATAACAAAGGCACAACTGTTCACAACAAGGACGCGTTGTCGGTGAGGTTGACGTCCAGCTGCTCAACGCTTTCTGCAGCTTCTGGTCGTAGCGGCCCTGGCTTCTGGCACAGGACACTGCTCGTAAGCTGCCTCTCGCTTTGCTGCGCCAGAAATTGCTGCAACCACGGAACGGAAGAAGAGTTAACGAAGCAAGTTGACTTGACCAGAGTAAGGTCCTTCCAGTCTTTCTTCAATTACTTATATTTCACAAGGTAAAGCTGGTCGGCTTTCATTTTTCAAAACTCAGCCACAGATTCACTGAGAACAGACTGCAACGAACTGAGAACACAGAACATACTGCAGCAAACTGCTGTCCTGCAGTGCTACTTAGCTTTAGAATGTCCACCTAACGCATGCAATTTTCGAAGATATACAGATTTCATCTGAATCGCCCAGTGTGTTCTTTGCACATAACGGACATTTATGCAAAATTCTGGGCTTCACGGGTGCGCAAATTGCTTGCAAACAAGCTTTCCTTTACTTCTTCAAACTGCTCACATTTTGCCACTATTATACGTACCACATTTACGGCGTCAGCATTGAAAGTGATTAACTGAAGAGGTGGTGATTCGGGGAATCCATGCAATTATCCCCACAGTATCAAGAAGATAACACTGAACACGTTTGGCTAAATGTATGGCTGGTGTCCTGTATACTAAAAATATTGAAGCCAGCATATTTGACGCCAAAAAAATACCGGGCCTGTATGAAAAGCAATGCAGTCTCACCGAAAGTTGTCACTGTGCTGGATGAATGCGATAGAAGCATGCATGAAGGTGATATAACCAATAAGAACCTGCAAAAGGTACCCTTAGACTAAAGATCAACGACGCTAATACAACGTCAGCATTGAAAGTGATTAACTGAAGAGGCGGTGATTCGGGGAATCAATGCAATTATCACCACAGTATCAAGAAGATAACACTGAACACGTTTGGCTAAATGTATGGCTGGTGTCCTGGATACTAAAAATATTTAAGCCAGCATATTTGACGCCAAAAAAAATACCAGGCCTGTATGAAAAGCAATGCAGTCTCACCGAAAGTTGTCACTGTGCTGGATGAATGCGATAGAAGCATGCATGAAGGTGATATAACCAATAAGAAACTGCAAAAGGTACCCTGAGACTAAAGATCAACGACGCTAATACAACGTCAGCATTGAAAGTGATTAACTGAAGAGGTGGTGCTTCGGGGAATCAATGCAATTATCACCACAGTATCAAGAAGATAACACTGAACACGTTTGGCTAAATGTATGGCTGGTGTCCTGTATACTAAAAATATTTAAGCCAGCATATTTGACGCCAAAAAAAATACCGGGCCTGTATGAAAAGCAATGCAGTCTCACCGAAAGTTGTCACTGTGCTGGATGAATGCGATAGAAGCATGCATGAAGGTGATATAACCAATAAGAAACTGCAAAAGGTACCCTGAGACTAAAGATCAACGACGCTAATACAACGTCAGCATTGAAAGTGATTAACTGAAGATGTGGTGATTCGGGGAATCAATGCAATTATCACCACAGTATCAAGAAGATAACACTGAACACGTTTGGCTAAATGTATGGCTGGTGTCCTGGATACTAAAAATATTTAAGCCAGCATATTTGACGCCAAAAAAATACCAGTCCTGTATGAAAAGCATTGCACAGTCTCACCGAAAGTTGTCACTGTGCTAGATGAATGCGATAGAAGCATGCATGAAGGTGATATAACCAATAAGAGACTGCAAAAGCTACCCTAAGGCTAAATATCAACGACGCTAATACAACGCCTGCTGGGCTCAGGGCTGTACATTCCACCCGTTGTTTGGGACTGATTGAAAAACCTTTTTTTGGGTGCATCTCAATAAAGATTTCCCAGCAGACACATAGTGAAATGCTTCCCACCCACAAAAAGTACTGTGCAAGCAAGCTGAATTGCCATCATAACGAGATTTTGTCATTAGTATTGTCATTAAACTGTTCAAAGCCGCTTCAAAATTGTTCGATCAAATTACTATTTGCTTCAAACCTCGAATTTATTGTTTATCCATCCCCATTACAATTCATTTAACATAGTTTTTGTGGTTTCTAAGGTGAGAGAGTTACAAAAAAATCAGCAGATGAAAGTAATCACGATTGAAAACTCTACGCAATCAAATGAGAATGAATATTTCATTATCACTTGAGCACAACTTCTTGCATGCGCAACTTTTCTGAATGAAACCGCAGCTCAACATAACTTTTCTTCAAATAGGTATGCAACAGCAATTTCTTTATTGCATGTTTTCATTACAAGTTATATATTGCAGCGTATTAGTTTTATTCGTAACTCAAACAGTGAAGCTTTTTCCTGAAAAGAGAAGTACATTAAAAAACCTAGAGAAGGCAATCCTCCGCTTGAAATTAGCACAAAAAATACCAAAGCTGCGATAGGTTATTAGAACTGACAGACAATGACGCTTATAAATGTATAGGGGATAACATAGGAAGTAATTGTAATGTAATTGCGAAGAAAAAAAGTGGACGAAAAGATATCTGACCTCCAGTAGGGACCATACCTTGGACCTTTGAATAACGCGCCCAATGCATTACTAGGCGAAGTACAGGTGCGGCCATATCCCCAACCATTTAATCGGGGAGTGTTAGTCGGCGCCTATAGTAGCTATGAAAGAAAGTGTGGCACATTTTCTGCTTGGTTGCGTCACGAAGCATGTGATCCTTTTACGAGCTCCTAGCTGACGAATAATAGAAAAGGGATTTTAAGAGCTTCGTTTTCTTCGCTATAGGCGCAGCATTAATTACTCATGAGTGTATGATTAAAAATAACAGGCAAGAAAGCCAACTTATTCTTTCATCAAATTTACTTTCATCAATTACAACATGATTATGACGGGAGACAACCCGTGCACTTTCCTAGGTTTTTTATTGTTTGTTACAAATATTTGCATGTCTAGCGAACACCGCGGCCCTCAAATTTTTACGATGCTATCGCAGCCGAAATCAAAACATCTCTTCAAAAAGGAAGTGTGGCTGGTGGTGGTGGTGGTGAAAACATTTAATAACCATTAAATGGTTACAGAGAGGTGATTGGGTTGGGGCCTTATTGGCCTCCTACCCTCACAGCGCTAGGTGTAACCCCTATTCCGGGGCTCCATTGGCAAGCAACGCCGCCCGCGCCCGTTGAACCAGAGCTTCTTGGGCCTTCAGGTCTTGACAGCCGAGCAGGGCCACCTCCCAGTCCTCTCTCGTGGGATTAGGGTTGGGGGGATAGATGGATTAGACTGGCGCGCCTAGACCATGTGGAAGGTGTCAGCCGCCTTACTACAGAACAGGCACGTGCCATCAAAAGATGAATTGAAATGTTTTAGCACCGCCGGGCACAGTACAGTATTGGTAAACAGTTTTAAAAGGAGGCGCTCGTCAGCGCGTTGCAGTTCCTTACAAGGATCTGGATAGCTCCGGTGCTCCTCCTTGTAGTAATTGGTAATATCTTTGAATGAAAGGGCCGAATTGTCTGATTGCGAGTAGGCTTCCAAAGACAGGGAATAGCCCGGGAAAAGAGTGCGCGGGCGGCCTGATCGGCCTGTTCGTTACCCCTGAGTCCTTGGTGACCGGGTGCCCAAACCAGATTTCGCGAAGCTGGATTAACGTATCGGCAGCTAGGTTCCAGTATGCGCTGAGCAAGCAGTGAAGCCCACCCTGGCTGATAGTTCCGACAGGCCCCTCGTGAGTCGGTGATGATATGTTTAGAAGAGGGATAGGTGAGAGCCAGAGCGATGGCAATCTCCTCCACATGTGTTGCGCTGTAGGCTTTGAAAGTGAGCCCGTTTACGGTGTTTGCGTTGTGTATGACTGCGGCAGTATACCACACCCCATGGTGCGGGCCGGCAACGTCCACGTAGCACACGTGTTCTCCTTGACCAAAGTGTCGCTGCCAGGACTACCTTGTCATTGTGGGGGCATTCAACAGGATCTAATATGTCATGGTGGAGCTGTAGAAGTATATCCTGGGCTGACTTCTGAGGGCGGAATCCAAACATGATGTCCGCAAAAGTGTGCTGTGTTTCTAGAAACTCGGAGAGTCTGTCGCGCACCATCGTTTCTCAACAGGATCTAATATGTCATGGTGGAGCTGTAGAAGTATATCCTGGGCTGACTTCTGAGGGCGGAATCCAAACATGGTGTCCGCAAAAGTGTGCTGTGTTTCTAGAAACTCGGAGAGTCTGTCGCGCACCATCGTTTCCATCAGCTTGCCGACACAAGACGTGAGGGAGATGGGGCGAAGGTTCTCCACGTCAATAGGTTTACCTGCCTTCGGGATGAAGGTCACGAGAGCTGATTTCCATTCAAAAGGGAGAGGAGTTTCTCCATCCCAAATGCTATTGATGTATTTGAGGAGCGTGGCATAGGCTGCGTCGGGAAGATTGGCCAACAGTTTGACCGTAACCTGGTCACGCCCTGGTGCAGTGCCACGCTTCATCTTGCGTAAGGCCACCTGGAGGTCGTCGAGCTGAAACGGGGTGTCAATATGCGAGTTATTTTTGCCTGCGTAGGAGTATGCGGCCGTCCGGGGGTCCTTGGTGGTGCACAGGTATCGGTCCCTGAGCGTGTTTGCCAGCTGTGTTGTCGTTCCTGTAAAGTTGTGCATGACCTTATGTAAGTGACGTTGAGTTTCCGTGCGTGTTTGTGTTGGATCGATCAGAGCGCGAAACAGGCGCCACGTGTTGCGACCAGACATCTGGCGTGCAGCCGTGTTGCACCTGTCTACCCAGTTAGTGTCGGCTAGCTGAGCAGCTGAGCAGTTCTAGGATGCGTTTCTTGAGGCGTTTGTTATGTATCTGTTTTTTCCATCGTTTGGTGAGTTTGCGGCGGGCCTGCCAAAGATGGAGGAGGTGGTCGTCCACGTCCGTTTGAATTTACGTGAGCTGTATCAGCCGTTCGTGTTGTTTCAGTGTAGACGTCAGTGATTTAGACCAGGTGTCGTATCCCGACTAGAGAGGGTCTAAAATAGGTAGAGTGGTGCGGAAAGTTGTCCAGTCTGGGATATAAGCTTGTGTAAGTGGGCGGTTTAAGGGACGCATGTACACGGTTGTGTTTGATACACAATGATCACTACCGAGAGTGTCCT